ATTGGATCTTCCCTCTGCACCAGCTGTATTTATTTTCGGGCTGTTGCTGCTGCCGCCTGTCCTCCCTCCCCTGCCTGTCCCCTCCCTGGACTCCCCCCAGGGTTTAACATGCTCCCTGCAAGATGCTGCGGTGCAGCGTAACCCAAGACCCCCCGACTCAGCACACAGATCGACCCAGGACTGCAGACACCTTTCCTCCTCCCGTTTGTCCTTGGGCTGGGCTTCTTCCAGTGTTGGTGGTTTTTTTTTTTTTCCTTTTTAGCTCAAATGGATTTCATCCCATTTGCCCAGAATTAAGCTCCTGCAGAATTTAATTTGCTGACATTTTCTTCATCCGTTTGGTTGTGGATAGCAGGGATAACGCACGTGCTGCGCCGGTTCCTCCCCGCTCCCATCCCCTGCCCATATGGCTGGTGTGTGTAGTAAAGTGCACAATTGTAGTTCTGCTCAAGAATGATGAAATACGGCAGCGAGGGGGAAAGATGAGCTGTCTCGGGTGAGTAAGAACGGACCTTTCCTTGAGCCGAGGGGGCTGGGAGGGGAATGGGTTTCAAGCAGTTTAATTCTTGAATCTAGCAACCCCCAGCACCGCAAAAACGAGATGTGCTAAAAGTTAATTAACTCTTAGCATCCATATTGCATCGGAACTGCTCTCGTCAGGGACCCCGTGGGCATCACAGGTCTGCCGGGGAGAGGGAAATCTCTTATTTTGTGTTATTCCATCACCTGCAAATGCCAAAGCCCAGGTCTAGTCCCGGGGGAGCCGTGTGGTTTAACTCCTCTGCTCCCTGTGGCCATGCCGAGCGTGCGTGCAGGGCTGTGTGTGTCTCGCAGTGGCGTGGGGAGGGGAGCGGATTATTTTGGGCAGGTCGGGGTCCCAGGGGCATGTGCCTCTTGGCACTGCTCTTATTTCTGAGCTGTTTTCAAACCAGGGCAGAGCTGTGATTGCAGCAGAGGAACGGCACCGGCTCTGCACCCAAGTGCTCTGCAGTGCTGTCGCAGCAGCCGCCAGCTTTTCCCCGGGCTCTGGGGACCAAAGTCACCCAGGTGGGATCCTCACCTACGCTTCAAAGGGGTTTAGAACTTGCACACCCCTGCATCCCGGTTGCCATCTCCCTTTGCACCGTGCGTTCCCCCAGCGCTGGCGGCAGCGCCGGCAGTGCTCATGCCAGCGTTGCACCAGCTCCCGGCAGTGGTGTTTAGCTTTGAAACATCTGTTTGCAGTAGAATTGGGGAGCGATGGAAACTGAGATCCCCTCCTCCCCACTGATCTGCGGTGTTACAAAAACTGGTGCATAAAACACCGGTGTTGATGCTTACACAGACATTGTCCCGTTAACCTGGATTTGAATAGTGGGATGCATGTGTGCTCCAGAGCACATCCAGCCTCTCACCCTGGCCGCATTAATTGATTAGATGATCACTCTTGGGCTGTTTAGATTGATATATGTTGTTGTGGATCTCCTCTAAGTCATTTTGTGCTTCACTCTGTTGCAGGGAAAATAGTTAGGGGTAGTTCGTTACTTCGCTGCTTTGGTTACGGTCAGTTTGCTTCCCAACCAGCCTCTGCTCCTGGGGCCAAACCAAAACCTGCAGCTCAAGCTGCTGGCCCACGGCGGCTGGGCCGAGGCGAGCGCCGCTCTGATTGCAGTCACTTTTGATCCCTGACAAAGATAAAATCGCTGCCCATCAGGGGTTCCCTTATTACGGGAGAAATTCCACCGAGTTCATTTTAATAATGCTCCAAACAATCTATTTGTCTCAGCTTGTTTTTCATGGCAATAAAATTGCTTGGCATGTTCCTGTATTAAAACACTCCAGCCATCTGTGACTGTCTCTGGATAAGAAATTTCATTTTAGCCATCAGGATTTATATATTATGGATTGTGCTGCTTCTCTGCTTGTCCTCCCTGCCCCCCCTCCATGTACCCCCTCCTTCAAGGCTGGGGGGAGCTTTCCGGCTCTCTCGGGTGCCGATGCAGCTTGCAGCAGGGGTGACCCCCCGGAACCCGCGTTGCTCTGGCTGCTGCCCGATGCAAGCACTTCAAACTGCACACGGACACTGTCCTCCTGCCCGCGGTCCGGGCAGACCCGCTTGAAACCACACGGATGGCAGGATGATAATGGAGGAAAAGCAGCTCTTGTTTGCTTCCGTTTTAAAAAATCCCTAATCTGATATCTGGACATATGGTCAACTGCCCAAAAAAGGGAATTAGGGCAACAGGAAAACAATGTGCCAGCGGGGAAAACAATTGAGAGTGGAGTTCCTTTTCTACTGGCTGAGTTCAAATAGGTCATGACCAAAATGCCTTGGTGCAAAATCTCCTGTTAGGAGATTAATTTCTTTTGACAAATAGAACTATGGCTGTAATGCAGATTATATCAGCCTGGCCCGCTCGCACACCACCACTGAGTCACAACTTTTATTTTGGGAAGTGGTTACTTGGTCCAAGTGTTTTCTAGCATCTTAGAGAAAACATGCATTTGTCCTGGTGTTCCCACCAGAAAGCAGGTTGGGGGCAGCGCCTCTGCCGAGGTGACTGCTCTCTGAGGCTCTGAAAAGCAGAGGGTGACAAAAGTGCCCATGCCCTGGGGCTGGCGTGGGGTGCTGGCATGGGGCATGGGGTGTGCAGGAGCTGCCGGTGGCCCGGCCGGCACAGCAGCTGGCAGGGTCCCACGGGTGCCACAGGGGGTCTGGGGGCCATCGCTGGGGCTGCATCAAGCAGCCGTTTGCATCTACCAACCTGGCCGTGATCCCTGGTACCCACTGGGTGATGCTGGGCAGGATGGAGGCTACAGAAAAAGCCTTTCTGGGGGTTTCTTTGAAGGTCTCTGTGTCCCTGGCAGCTGCGGGGTTGCCCATCCCTGCCAGGGGAAGGACAAAGCCACCGCTTCTTGGTGCGCAGTGTGGTTTGGGCACAGGCACACCGGGTTTGGGAGAGGCGAGAGCACCCTGAGGCCCCGGCCTGGGCATGGGCTGGGGTGCTGCTCTGGGAGGCTCTTACCGGCAGATAATGCATCAATCGTTACTGGAGCTGGTGCAGGGATGTGTCATGTGAGAGCTACCCTCCCCAAAAGCTGCTGTGCAGGGCCAGGGGGGTTTGTTCTGTCTCCAGGGATGAGTTTGGTGGCCGGGGAAGAGTGGCAAGGGGCTCCTGGCCCCCACCATGTCTGTGCTCCTGTGTGGAAAAGCACCTTCATTCCTATTTAATGATAAGGGTCACATCTGCAAAACATCTGCAGCCAGATGAGTGATTATCAAGCCTCCCGTTACCAGGGATAATGGGATAACAGCTCCTGTGAAAACCCGTGCGCGAGGCAGGTGCTTCCCGTGCACCGCGTCCCCCCGTGGCTTTCGGTGCTGCTGAGGCTGGAGGCCAGCACAGGGCTGCCATCACCCCTGCCCACATATGCCAAGACAACAGGGAGATTAGGTTTGGGAAAATCTGCCCAGGTTCATAGGCAGAAGTCCTGTTATGTGGGTAAAGCAGTACACGAGTTTTCTCTCCCGAAAGCATGTGAATTTTAGCATTGTGGCATGCTGTCAGGGCAGAAGTTCTTTTCCAGACTGGTAGCTGTTTGCATTGCACAATTCAGACATAATCCAAGTATAACTCAGTGTTTTAATCTACCCTGGATGTGTTTTTCTGCACAACTGACAGACTCAAGGTCAGGTCTTTGCTAGTTGTTTTGGGGCTAAACCATACATTTTTCATTTTTCCTTCCTTTGCTACCTGAAGATTGTATCTGATGTGGGCAGCTCTGGAAAGCTTCACATCCTCTTCATCAAACGCGAGCGCTGTGTTTAAAGATGGCGTTATTTAAAGATTTTCTTTTTTTTTTATCTTCTATCCCTAATGCAAAGCGCTGCTGTGTTACCCTGGGGGTACACGATGCTCTGCGGCTCGGGAGGAGGTTTGGGCCCGTGACTGTGGTCCTGCTCCTGGTGCTGCTCCTGGTTCTGGTCCAGCCTGGGC